TCTTCGGTATCTGATGTCCTCGGTAGGGTGTGCGATCTGTAAGATAACAAACACACGGTAAATCCTTGGGCACCGGTGTGGTACCGGCCGAAGGCTCTCCGATGCTTTAGTAAGTACGGATTTAGTAAGTTTGAACTACAGATCAATAGGCAATATGCCGTAAGTTCTGATTAATTACCTTCAAGCTGAGATGGGTGTCCTCTTTTATAGGCCTTCTTGGGAGGTGTGCAATTTGTCTATAGTTTCGATGTGGGACTCTGGACATCAATTGTGGGACTGCCACGCGTCCAGGGGGGCGAGGTTGCCCTAACGTTGCGATCGGTAGGTCTTCTACCGAAGGTATGTGCCGAAGGCACCATATGGCCATGGTTTAGCCACGTGTTCGTCGTTCATTAGCTGTTCGTTTTGGTATAAACAGTTTATTTTTATTTTTTATATCAGTCTTTTTATTTTATTTCATTCAATTCACTCACCCTGATTCGGGAATATTCTTTATTCTCGAATTGGGTCTTGACACGATAAATTTTGGGACCAGTTTAAATTCCCAGATGTTATTATATGAGTGTTGAATAAATAAATTTGTACAATTAAAATTACGATGACAAAATTGTACTTGATGTTTCTTGCTAGAATAGTATTTTACTTTATTTTGTTTGAGATTTTGGTGCGCGAAATAATTAAATATTAATGGGGAAAAGCTAATGCGGCTGGTGCAATATATTGGTGGAATCCAATGTGTCATCCTATATCGATGGCAAGTAGTTGTTTTGGTAAGTGAATAATATATAACTAGGGATGGTTGTGTCAGAAAAATACAAAAATATCAAAAGTAATAATTTGGCAAATCTCAGGATCATTTGTGATAAAAACTCTTATTTAAATTAATAAGTTGACAATATAACATGAGAAACTATTTCATAAAAAAACAAACTTTCTCTCCTGACCAAAAAAAAAAAAACCCAAAAAAATTTATGTAGGAGCTTGTAGCTCTATTTTGTCAAGTGTATTTAGAAATTTATTTTTATATCTCCGGTTCGAATTTCCCACTCCGAATTTCATAAGAGGAAAAGAAAAACTCTCTATCCTTTTTTTTTTTTTATAAAAAAGGGGGGACAAGCCCCAAAACAAAACCCGAAAGCCTATTCAGTACCAATCAAACGGCCCCGAGGAAAAGAAAAACTCTCTATCTTACAAAAACAAAGAAAACACATAATAAGAATATCATAAAAGAACAATGCCGCTTTTTCAGTTAGATTAGGGAAAAGGAAAATAATAAAAAAAGAATTTATGAAATACTTGGCGGATAATAATTAGCCCACAGACATTATGATTGGAGCATAATCATCAAAGGTAATGTTAATCACAAGTTATATACAAATCAACCTGAAAAATAAAATATTATAATATAACACTCAAAAATGTAAAAGCCCAAAGGCCAGCATAATATTACGTAACCAAGTAAAACATGGGCTGGTAAGGGTAAAAGAGTCATCTCAAGTATAGAGCTGAGCAACTCTATATACCAAATAGTCAACATGAATGAGGTCAAACGTTTTCCATGAACAGAAGGACCTTCCATTAGCTTGTCTTTCTGTAAGAGTCTCTTTCTACGGGTACGCTTCCTCTCTTTCCTTTTCTTTTTTATTTTTATTTTTATTTTTATTTTTAATTCTGTTAGCTTTTTATTAAATACCATTATCCGTCTCAAAGTATTTCATTGTTCTTATGCTGCAACTTGCTTGATATGCTTTATAGCCAGTCGATGAATTCATGTAAGTTTTAATTTTGTTTCTGCAAGAATTTTAAGTGTCTTGTGATTTTGATCAGATTCAAGAAATATGAAGGTTCTTTTGAGTGTTTGTGTTTGTGTGCAAATTACCTGTGTATAAAAATCTCAACTTTTGGTGGTATTGAGCTGGGTGGTTGTAACTTTTAGTGGAGAATTATGGTTTGATTTGGGTTGAAATTGAATAGAGTTTATGTATTGAAATCCAAGTTATTGAGACACGCTTCTTCCATTTCATGTCTTAATAGATAAGATTCTCTTTGTTTTTTTTGGGGGGTTTAAAATCATGGGATGCAGAGAATTATAGTTGTGGATCTCATGTAATTTATTGTGAGTGATCAGAACAGCTTTTTGGGTGGTCATATTGTGTGTATGGGAACAGGGTTAAAAAATTTGGAGGGGAGGATAGTTAAAAGCATCGCTATTGGTAAATATGACGGTGAAGCAGAAAGCAGAAGGAGGATTTTCATGGTGACTCAAATTTAATATTAGGAGGGTATTGTTGAGTTGGGCTAAGTTGTATTCTTCTGCGGTAGAGAATACATACAAGTTCCTTGATGTTATCTCCAGGTTTTGGCAAGAAAAATGCTTATGCATACTTTATTCTTTGTATAGTTTAGTTTATAATTGATAATTTTGCGACATTAAATTATATGTATTGAATACTAACATATGCACAACACACCCTATTTCTAGAATTGAGAATTAGGACTTCCGTTGCTCGACATAGTTAGTGCCTATCGACAAGTATCTAGACTAGAATTTTGGTTCATACATATTCCGCAAATGTATCTTGGAATCAGTGTTGTAAGTTTTTGTGAACTTAGTTGAAATAGATCTTAACTATTTCTTCACCTCCAAAGTCCTAACTCTGTTCTTCAATTTCTAACATAACCACCCAAAAAGCTGTTCTGATCAGCCACGATAAAGTACATGAGCTTCACAACTATATTTCTCTGCAATAGATCTTCATATGATGCTGTGGTTGGATCTAATTTGCAGTTTGTTGTTCTATACATGCTGATTATCAGTTCTTATCTCATTTAGCATATTATGGACATAGGTTTGCACCCTCTTCTATAAGTGTAAGTAAGCTTCATGGATGATAGACTTGGAAACATAAAGATCATCAAAGATCATTTCAAAGCATCCGCACCTAGTATTGACTCTCTTCAGGACATAGCTTCTTCATCTGTTTCACAACCAAGAACTGATAATTATTTGAGGTATTTCTTTTTCTTTTGAAAATGAAGAACAAAAGAAACAAAGTGAAACAAAAAATTGATTTAATTTGAGAGACTGTATGTTAATTTAAATTCAGTTTGCTTAATCTGGTGTAGCATAGGTCTCATAGCCGTTTGTGGAGTAGGAAAAAATTAAGAAGTGCAGCATACATGTTGAAGTTGAACTTTTTTAGTCTGCGGGGACTGCCTTGGGGGTCTAGCACTGATAGCGAGGAAAAGGTTGATTCAGTAACTCTTGCAGTTCTCAATTGGGTTTTATGAGATTTCCATGTCCCTGACGACTAGATTTGCTTTAACTGGCAGGTTGTGCTAACTGCTGTAGAACTAGAATCACTTCGATCGGATCTTGCTGATTTAGAAGAGAAGGAAGCTCACTTGAAAGCTCAGTAAGAGAACTTGATGGTTTTACCATTGAAATGTGATTTAGCTCTTAGCAAACTACATACTATTGCTACTTCTCTTGGCCTTTTAGTTAAATTCTGATGTACCTTGATTGCAGCATAAATACCCCTAACACAATGTATGGCTGACTCTCTGCCAAAAGTGTTCGAAAATTTTCATTTTTGAACTGAGTTCTTATATCGCTTTGGGGCTAGACATGGATTTGTTTTCCTTTTGGGATAGGTTATTTGGAGAGAACTGCAATTCTAGCTGAAAATCTGTCTTCTTCGTATCAACCATGACAGGCTTATGTTTTATTGTTTAGATTGGAACACGTTGATGAAATTCTGCGATCTGCTCGTCTCTCTGGCTATTTGTACATCCGAACTGTAATGACTACCCTAAGTCAAATTTTACTTTGAGCCTGTACTTAGCGGATGATACCAATTATGTTTTTTTTTTCCCTTTCTGATAGAGGTGGAAACCGCTACCAGGAGAACCTCCCCCTCTTGATGATACTGACGTTGATGACTGGCTTCCTCGCTTTGTTGTCTTGCAAGGGCCATGCATTTTCTTCTACTTGTTTTCCACAGGTAAATAATCACTGTGTCATAATCCTTAAGCATTTACTTTATGAGCGTTAAGAATTTCTCTGCTGTTGTGTGGGAATAAGGAATGATTTGACGCTGCATTAACACCTCATAGTTTGATTGGTTGGCCATGATGTCGCATTTGCTTTCATTGTGTTTATCTATAGTAGTGTGGAAGACCACTGATGAGCTATTTTTTTCCTCTTTTTCCAGATCTGAGTCCTCAAGACTCCACCCTATTATCTGATATTGTTGAAATAGGTCCCTTGCCAAGCGTTACACGAGATGATGAAGGAACACAATATGCATTTTATATCTTAACTATTCAAGGACTTCGATTCGAGTGCTCAAGTGCTTCTAAGGTACAGGTAAGCCAGTGATTTGTTTTGCAGTCTCTTGTTCTTGAAACTATGCCAATTCATTTGACGTAGATTTCTTTTTTTCTCCTTTTGGTTAATAACAACTTGTCAAGTTCTGTATGATCAATCCTACAATTACTTTTCTTCCCAATTTTTCTCAGGTGGACTCCTGGTTGTCAGCACTACAAACTGACTGCAAATTGGGGGGTTCAGATGCCACCACAGCTCCAAATGGCGCATGTGAGATGTGAAATGATACACTTTAGTTCCAGGAAGTTGTAAATAGGTAGAAATTTAAGTTGTCATTACATCCATTCATATGTTATGTACATAAGAATAGCATCTAATTGAAGCAGCAATGTTAGTACTGATATGTTACGCTTATTTTAGAAGTTGACATTTTCTCAACGTGTCATGTCTTTAAGGAAGATGAGACGCTATCTTTGCTATAATACTTGTATTTTCATTTAAATAAAATAAAATTGATAATGGTAACCAGAGAATAAAAAAGCATATGTGGAATATTCTCTAATGATGCACAAATTAGCATAAAAACAAAACAATTCACAAGCACCACCTGACAATATTGAACAACAAATTGCTTTATGCAAAGTGGCAATCTAAGATTGGAACCAAAAAGTGTGGTGTTGAAGTTTGATTAACCCAAGAAAGATTTGATTGTTGCGTATGCTTTGGTGGCTTGGCTGCCTGCAAGCACAAGATTCATTCAACCAAAGCAAGTGAACCAATCATGATTCATGTGGTCATCTAAATACAGCTTTCCAACAGTTAACAATAACCGTGTGTTCACCTCATCCGTCTTTGTTGGGGGAAGAAACCTAAAATGAAACACAAACTCAACCAACTACCATTGTACTCCAAGGTAGAGATCTCTTTTGGGTTGGGCTCACATTCACGTAAAACAAGAGACGGATCCAACTCCAATACCATTGGATGAATACGGATTTGCAGATAAATACTTTTACTACTGAGCTATGAACCCGTTGGCTGTGAAGGAGAAGTAATACACGCCTCACTGTTAAAGTGCGACTTTGGAGCAAATCTTTCAAGCTGGACGAACACTTTGTCTCACCTCACCTTTTATTTTTTTGCTTGTTACCAAATTCTCACATAAAATCTTCTATTGTGGACCACGTGAATCACATTAGGTAGGTCAAAATTCCAAACATCCCGACCATAGAACAGTGTGTGTTACAGGAACTTAATAAAATCATATAAATTGAAGAAAGGTCCCAAAGGAAGGGAGACAATGGACCCCCATAAAAAGAAAAAGAAAAAATTTAGGGTGGTGGATTATCTACTTACTTCTGCCTAATAAATCACCAAAAAGGATGTGCTCTGTCACATTTTCACCTCTTGTTTTTTTTGGTGAACAAGCTCTTGTTAGAATTGAAGAATAAATTAATTTAATAATTTTGACCTTTTTTTTTTTTTTGGCCACGGCCCAATATGCGCTATGTGAGGAAGTTTCCTAGGGTTTTTTTTTTCTTTCTTTTCACCATTTTTCCCATTGAAGGTAGGCTGGGTAGTGAAAGGCTTTTCAACTGACTAACTCAGGCAGAGCTCATGGTATACGTCAAGTATCATAATGCAAAGAAGCTTCTTACTTATTTAGAGGAACTGCCCTTTTTCTATCCCACAAAAAGGGCCAAGAAAAGAGAGAAAAGTGCTCCTTCACTTTTCTTTTTATATACTTATTTCTGACATGCATGGAACTTTTTTTTAAAATTTATTTGAAAACCATTTTTAGCTTATTTTTGGTTGGTGTAACTTATAACCATATTAAACAAGGTAATATCCCATAATTATATTAATATAACACAATTATTAAATGTATATTTTTTTTTTAATACAAACGATATTCTACGTTAATCTAATCTAAACTATGAAGAGGGATTTGAACTCGGGTGTAGAGTGGAGAGTACATCCACTCTAGTCAACTTGACTAAGCCTATGTCTTCACTATCAAACGTATATTAAATATGTAATTTCATAGCACTTTCATATTATTGGGTTGACGCAAGCAGTTGATACCCGAATCAAACCCGATCTCTTATTTTATTTTGTTTTTAATCATTTTGGCTTAATGTTTTTTTTTTTTTGGTAAACGAAATTCCCTTCTTCTTTTTTTTTCTTTTTTTAAAAACCATACCAACCCGCACAGCGGAGAAAGCCCAATTGGGCCAGCTCCAATTCTAAACCGGTAGTTGGTTCTTACGCATCGTATCGCATTCGCATTTCCCCGTAGAGTTCGGATAGGTTTTGACTTAACCACAAGCTACAACTTACAAGCAGACCCCAACCAACCCCTCATATATTCCCATACAACTCTCTCTCACTCTCTCCACACAACTGATACACACACACACTCTCTCTCTCTCTCTCTCTCTCTCTCTCTCTTCCTCTGAGACCTTTTCAGCTATTGAAAATGAGCTCTCAGATTTGCAGATCCGCTTCTAGAGCTGCCAGGTCCTTCCTCTCTGCTGCTCCTAAGAGCTCTCGTTTCTACTCTGGTAATGTTTCATTGCTTTCATTTCCACTCTGTTTTTAGCTTTGCTACGTGCTTGTTTGGTTTTGATGAAATGTTTGGTCCTTCCCGTAAATTTGGAGCTAGATCGATGATCTGTGAAACCACCATCTGTTTGTTTATATGGAAGCAAAAATTCGAGCTTGACCAGGAAATGAGTAGATTGGATTGTTTGGTTTTGAGCTTTTACTTTTCAACACGAACTACTTTCCAGGAATTGCTTTCCGTCAAAACTGAAAAACTATACTTTTCCATGCAATCATTGTTTTTGTTTATTGACAATTACAATTGGGTTTTTGCAATTCCTCCTCTTCTTTGATGATTGATCTGTTTCTGGATTTGACATCATCGATCCACGTCCGGCATCAAGCGGGAAACCGATCTTGTGGGTCCCACCTACCAACGGTTGATATGTCAATTCTTAGATTTTGATTTTATGATTGATAAGTATGGATCTTTTCATGTTATGATTGATTAGCCAGTAGCTACATATCATGATCAGTACTCTAACAGTCCAACGGTTGAAATAACAAAAGTTTGATCGACTAATTACATAGCACCCTTCCTATAAAAGTGTTAGATTTATGTATATATTATGATGTTGTGCTTTTGTGCTTTTGTTAGTACCTTTATATGTGTTGGGTTTTTCCCACATGTTTACTTTTACCCACGAACAATTTGGGATGATATTTGTGTGTAATTGTGTACCTTGCATTTTGCAGAAGGGCGAGCTGTAGCTGCTGCTGCAGCAGTAACCTTGAGTTCAAAGGTGCCTGTCTTTGCTTCAAATTTTGGAAGAGCTGGTTCCGAAAATGTGTCTAGAGGATGGATTTCAGGAGCTCTTGCCCTTCCTGCAGCAGGTATTGAAAAAATCAAACTCAATTTCCATTTTCCTTTTCTTCTTTTTACCATGGTATGATTTTTTGTTTTTTAAATTTGCTCATCTAGACCAAGATCATGCGATCTTCTACAATAATTATTTTAATATTCCTAAAAGTAACAATATAAAATATTTATATGCTGATTTGTAAACAGGATCCTGTTTTTTGGATTGTTAGATTTGCTTTTGAAAGTGGGACCTCTGTTTTTGTGATGCTATATAAACATTTCTTTTTTAAAGTGAGAGCAAAGGGGAATAGGAAAGGAGATGATGGTTTGGCAGTAAAATGTATCTGATCTTAAATTTTGTTGTCCATAAACGAAGAGGGGCATTGTCCCTTGCCAAAGTTTTAGTATTGTGGCTTCCTGGTCCTCTTCAACAACAACCATACTGTGCTTAGCTTAAGCATAGAAAAGGGTTGGAATATTTTTGCTTGGGATGTTTTCTTGGCTTGACTTTCTTCCCTAGTTTCTCCCGACCTGACATTGCAGTTGGATCCCCGAACATATGTTATCTATCATCAAACTTCCGCACTGATCAAATTTTATGCCATTCTTCCATTATTAAAAGAATATCTTTGCAATAGCATGCCCGGATGTATTCTTTTGATTGCAGTCTTTACAAACTTAATCCTAACACTTCCTTTGGTTTCTTTTTTCTAATTTCTATAGCTTACATGCTCGTCGACCAGGAGGTTCATGCTGCAGAGGTACTTTCAATACCTTATGTTCCCTTTTTGCTCATTGTTGATTAATATTTCTTTTCTTTCTTCTTACAAAGCTTTTCTTCTCTCATCAGTTGGAACGCACTTTCATTGCTATAAAGCCAGATGGAGTTCAAAGAGGACTGGTAAAGTTTAACCATTTGACCTTGGTTTTATTCCCCTGAACCTGAAGTATGGCTGACACCTTTTATACCTTATTTGTGCTAAGCCTTTTATTTTCTTTTATTCCAGATCGCAGAAATCATATCCCGATTTGAGCGCAAGGGTTTTAAGCTTGTAGGCATAAAAGTAGTTATTCCTACGAAGGATTTTGCACAGAAGCATTATCATGATCTTAAGGAAAGGCCATTCTTTAATGGTCTATGTGACTTCCTTAGCTCGGGACCTGTTATTGGAATGGTTAGTAGAACTAGAATTCACCTCAATATGACAAACCTTCCATTTGGCCAAACTCATTTTTCGCGAACCCTTACAGGTCTGGGAAGGAGAAGGTGTGATCAAGTATGGTAGAAAACTCATTGGAGCCACAGACCCACAAAAATCAGAACCAGGAACTATCAGAGGTGATCTAGCTGTTGTTGTTGGAAGGTAATGATTTTGCCATGCAACTCTCTAATTCTAACTTTTAGACTGGAGCAGCTAAATTGAGCTGGTGTTACAGCTCTGCTGCATGTATCACTTTGATCTCACAATCTGTTTATGCTTTTGCCATGCAGAAATATCATCCACGGCAGCGATGGGCCAGAGACTGCCAAGGATGAAATCAACTTGTGGTTTAAGCCAAATGAGTTGGTTAGTTACACCAGCAATGCAGAGAAGTGGGTGTATGGAGAGAACTGATTGAATTTTTTGTTTACTGTGATCTTCCGGCAATGTAGGTCCCACGTGAAAGAGTGGGGAAAGTAGAGGTTATTGTTAGAATAAAATTGTTTCCATTGAGGTGAGTGTAATTGTTTGCAGCTATTTTGTACCCTAATCAATAAATTTCTTCACCGATTTCAAATAATCCTTTACCTCAGTTTTGCTACATGTAACTGCAGTCTGCAGAGATGCGTTTTACTTGATTTACTTTTCCCCTAGTTTGAGGATTGGCATGAAACTTCATGTATGGAAATGTTAAATTTTAATAGCTAAAGAAATGTTGTTTAATGCCATTGAAAAAGATCATGGGTTCGAGTCCTAGCGTCCGTATATTGTGTAAATTTAGTATAATTTTGCCCCTCTCAAAAGGAAATATCCTTTTATAAATTTAAAAAAAAAAAAAAAATTTAAAAAGCAGCACCAAAAAAAAAAAAAAAAAAGGGTGCATTGGTTTTTTTTTTTTTTAATTAATTTTTTTCTCCTGAGCAAACAAGAAGGGTCAAACATGTGCCAATGTTTAGAAAGAGCTGTCTGATTAGATACACTCCTAACTAAATCCAGTTTCCTTTTTCTTTGAATTAAAGATAAAATGCAGTAATAATCATAGCCATGGAACCTTCTTGTTCTTTGAACAACCAGGAAACCCAATTGAATAAAAATAAAAATAGTAATCCCATTAGGAATTGGACAAAAGAGTTATAATTTTTGGTGTATGTGGGATCAAAGCGCTAGTGAACAAAAGCGACTTATGAAGAAGCGCTTTCAAACATGCCTTCACAATTTAGGATTCTTAATGAAGGCACTTACAAAAGTATCAATCAAAATCAAATGTGACATTTTTCATATGCATTGTATGGCATATATGATTGACTAATTAATATTGATTTTGTTAAATCAACCACAAAACGCATTAGACTAAGAAAATTCAAAATTAGAACATAAAATCATAATCATTACTAAGTAATATTGATCTTTATCAATATCAAGTTTTATGATTTTATCCAATCAAATTTTTTTATTTACATAAATAATTTTTTTTTTTTTTAAACATTCATATCATAATTGACCAAGTCAATGACAATCTACGTGATTAAAAAAATTCTATTTTCAGTAAGAATGATCGTACAGATGACGTGGCCGAACCACCCTAGCCAAGCTAAGACAGTACCTTCTCAACGACAACGCACCACAGTAGCGAGTCACTGCTCTATGCCGCGTCAGTACACGACTTACCCTACGCCACGGTGGTTCCAGCCCAAAAGGACATAAGACGCTTTATAAAAAAATCAAGTTCATTATTACTCCCATTGGATTCGGAATTGACGTCCGCCGAGAAAACCCACAGCTACTTGACAGCCTTTCCTTCCACTATAAATAGTAGACCTTCATCTCTCAACGCGTATTCTTTTTCACAAAACACGAAAATTGCTCTCCTTATCCTTATAAGCCCCTAACCCTAATTTCGTTCAGAATCTCTTCCCGATTTACGATTCTCGATCGAATTTCTGCTCTCTAAAATTCGGTAAGTTCTCCTTGTTAAATCTCTCTTTAATATTGTATCAATTAGCGCATAAAGTTTGCACTTTTTTCAGCTGAATTTTTTGAGGCCTTTTCTGTTTGGTTATGAAAAATCCAGCAAAAAAATTGGTTCTTTGTTATGTGATTTCGGTACTTTAGGTTTTTTTTCTCTGAACGAATACTTAAGCTGAGATTTAATTGTGTTTTCTCTTTCGGATTCTTATTGCTTTCTCAGCAACCAAGCAGTATTATTGGTGTATTTTGAACTTCGTTTGTACCTATTATTGCAAACTCCGTCTCATCTTATAATGTTTAAATATGAAACCTTTTTTTCATGATTGGTTGGTTGGTATAATCATCTAGGATTTTTTTTTGTTCAGTTGTTTTTGCTGTCAATTTTTATGTGTAGACTTGTTGTTATGTTTAAATCAGATGGCGACTAAACCACTTACAACTGAAACAATTGCTCTGACTGAGAAGAAGATGGACATGACATTAGGTATTCGTGTGATAATGTGTGATATGTAGATGACATTATTAAAATGTCAAAAGTTGCTCCAAAGGGTAAGAAGCAGCAGCGAAGGGCTTCGGTAAGTTGATTTCTTTCTCTCTTTTTCATGTTTTAAGAGAAAACAACTGTTACTGAAATGAAATATTCTCATAGCACAAAATTGTTGAATAGTATCAAATGTCTCTCCCTCTGCAGAATAAAGCCCAGAATTTTGTAAAAGGTGCTGCTCAAGATAAACCAGCAAAGCTGCGGCGCTTTATGGACGCAAGATCTTCCATTAGACAGGTAGGTGAATGATATTGCTGAGTTGAATTCTATTTTTAATTATTTTGTGCATTGTCACTAACATATTGTCTCGTTATTTGGTTCAATATGTTAATCAGGGGGTTCTAGCTCAGAGAAGGTCAAATTTCCAGGGGAACCAATTTCCCATTGTTGCTGAGGCTGCACGAAAGGTAGCAGTTGCTCCTCTTCGCAATAGAGCTTTTAATCGTAACCGGGTACCTAACTGGAAACCAAGGTATGAACTTCTAGTTTTGGAAGCTTGCAATGCGTTTTGGTTTTTAGTTCTTAATTGGTGGCTCCCAATAATTGGTACCTAATTGTATTTATTGTGAATTTACTTTATTACAGGTAAATATTGGTGCTTCTATATTAGTGATGACCTTCTGCCATTTGCTTCGGATAAAACATTTCAACTCCCATTATTGTGGAACACCTGCATATATTTTGTTTATTCGGCAAGAAGTCAATTTGGGAGTGTTTCAAAGTGTTGATTGTTTCTGTAGATGCCATCCAGAATAGATATCCGCATTATAAATTCTCAATTTGCGATCTGCAAAGTTACCATATGTTGAGTGGTGCATATCTCAAATTATTATGGACATTCTTACAACTGGAGATTTGTGGGGTTGAGTTCACTGGTCGGTAATGGGATCACAAGACTTGGACAGGGATAAGATTTGCAAGATACGGAAAAAAGTGAAATCAGTTTGATTACTTGAAGTATGTAGCACGTAGCTTGAGCATTATGTAACGTTGGATAGAGCATGTACTGAGGGCTAGTAACTGTTATGCATTCTAAGTGGCTCAGTGTTTGATAGGATTAACTTGTTGACGTGTTGACATGTTCTTCTATGTCGAGTGGGTGTTACTGTAGTTTCCCTAACGGGTTTGGAAGTTAGAACATGTTCCTTGGCTTTGAATTCAAGATATCACCATCTCCTGTTTTTCAGTTCATTCTGAATATGCTGGCTTTCTGCAAGTTATTAAATCACTAGTCCTTCAGATGTGATTTATAGGTCCAGCTTATTGACATGTTTTTCTATGTCGAGTGGGTATTACTGTAGTTTCCCTAAAGAGTTTGGAAGTTGGCACATGTTCCCTGGTTTTGAATTCAAGATATCACTATCTCCTGTTTTTCAGTTCATGCTGAATATACTGGCGTTTCTGCAAGCTTTTAAATCACTAGTCCTGGCGTGTGATAGGTCCAGCTATTCTACCCATTTTGCTTTAATATTTTCTCTTCAGTTGACCTTGCAAATATGTATTAACAATGTCTATGATCTGGGAGGCAACATTGGAGAGTTCTTCTCCTTTGTGATGAGCCATAGGGTTTTCGGGAAGCTTCTGTCTCATGGAACTTTTCACTTTTTCTAGTTTATGCTGACTGATACTTACACCTTCCTCCTCTTTGTTTCCTGGGGTATTTATTGCCTGCTGAATGGATGGTTGAGTCTCCTCTGCTTTAAGGTGCAATGGGTTGGAATTAAAGTGGATAATTGCACAACCAAACATCAGTTGCAGATTACAAAAGAACAAACTAAGCAACGGTTGTGTTTCAGGTTTTTTGTGTATAGAAATTTTGTTAAATGGGATAACAGAAGGGGATTAATATTCAGCTGATGACTGTCGAGTAGAGGCCAAGCCTTCTGCCCCCTTGTTGTTTTCCAATTCTTTTAGTGGTTGGAAGCTGTGTCCTGTAGTATGTTTTGTGGTCTACAAGTGGTTGGAGAACCATAACTTGTCGTTCAACAGAAGCTCCAGTGGCTTCCACTCTCGATGTGTTTGCCTGCTTAAGCTGGGATCAGAAATTCCTTGGGGAAGGCATTTTACCCATTTGATGAATGGGATGTTCATTTAGTTTAATGGCAAATGAACCCCCTGTTGTGATTCATCAATTCTGCTGCCATGTGAAGTTGTTTTGTTGAGGGTTTCTGTGAGGAATATGTTTGCTTGGTGAGGCTTGAATTCAGATGAAGGTTTGTGGTTAGAAGTACCTTTTGCAGACTAAAACGGAACCACACTGCTGAGAGAACATCATTTTCCTACAACTGTTTTTTCCTCTAATGGTTTGTCGCATTAATTGGATATGTTTAGAACTGTGATGGTAAGGCACTTTAACCTCTCATCCAGTCGAATGCATATCTGCTCGTGATCCCCTTGCAATTACTTGGTGTTGGTGTAGGCGTATTGATAGCCATCATCTCTGTTGTCTAAGTTAGCTAGCTTTTTTAAGGTACATGGTATTCAATTCTTCATCCATTTTTTCTATTTCTGGATGCAGGGTTGGTGGTCCAATTCTTCAGAGAAGGGCTGGAAATGTCTACAGTACTAAGGTATTCTTTCTGACTTAATGGTGACCTTTAGATTTTTTTCCCTTCAACATTATCGAGTGTTAGTGGCTTGTGTGGTTGAGTAATCTATAATGAGTGCGAGTTAAAGAATCGTGGTGGTAAATGATTGGCTTTCTTTGGTCATGCTTGAGAAATCTTTAATGAGTGTGAGTTGAAGAGTCCTGATGGTGTATGATTGCCTTTACTTGGTGATGGTTGAGAATGGACAATGAGCGTGAGTTGAATAGTCTTGATAGTAAATGATTTATTTGTTTGGTCAATGACATTGTGGTTTCTAAAAACTTGTTCATTGGGTTTTAGCAATCCACCAATTTGGTGGAAGCTTTAAGATTCTTTGGAGTATAAGGAACCAAATTGTAGTTTTTGTTTACACTCTGGATATTACACTTTGGAGTTCCTTTCATATATGTTCTTTGTGAAAGTAAATCATTGTGAGAAAAGAAATTGATTTTGACCGGTATTATTAGTGGTTCATCTGGAATCTGAATAGATGCCATTTGATCTCTGTTGCTTATGAAGTCAGTGTTTGGTGTGCAGCTGCCACTTCCTCAACAGCAGCAGCAGCAGCTTCGGCAGCAAGAGAATGCACTTCCTAAGCAGAGGCCTCAAACACTCGATTTGCTCTTTGCAAACATGAAGGAGCAAAGGATGAGGGCCCAACCACGCCAGAACAATGCCGTACCTCGCAACATTAGGGGTGTCCAGCAGAGGCCCCCTTGGGGAAGAGGCGGACGATTTGGCAACTGATTCATACGCATAATGTGCCAGCTAGAAAGGGGATTGAATGTCTACTTTGTCTAGATCCCAATGTGTAGCTGATGGGGGTTCATATCCAAAATATATTGGGGCCGTCCGACTTTTGTTGCCTTTATTTTTCCATTTTTATGACTTTGGAAGACTTTGTTTTCGTTCATGTTTCATTCACTGACAATGTGTGTATATATGGTAGCAGTCTCTTCTGTTGTGGACAACTGTGTAATTCATGCTTTCAAATACCATTTTTTCTTGGTATAATCCATGTTTTTATGATTTTCTGATGTCTCTTTCACCCTCAACATTTTGTTATCCTGTTCGATTGTGCCGTTGTTTCATGTTATCCGTTCGATTGTGCCAATGTTTCTTTTGGTGCAATTCACGTTTGAATATCTGGTCTCTGAAAGTAGGTAAGTTCTTCGAGTGTTCTCCAATGTTGGACAAGGTTTAAGTAACCGTAAAAGATTGTTCTTAGAATGCTAGCGCAATATGATTTTAATCTGAGCTTCCTTCTATATTCAACTGCCCAACAGTTGATATTTCCATAAGCAAACTAGATTATAAATTGGTATCAGATTTGACTGTTTAACTGCCAGAAAGTGACATTCCGTTCTTAACTAACAAGAGGATGAAGATAAATGATTAAAAATATCAAACACACTAATTCCTCGGCTCTGAGTTGTTGGTATGTACACAAGTATATAAACCATCCTAAAAAAAAAAGTAAAAACATCTATGAATTGCGTGGAGGTACTTGAAAAAGAGGAGGCTCAGTTAACTTTGTATTTGGTTCTCTTTTTTTCTGCAGCAGCAGCCGTATTTCCAAACAAATTGAGATGAAAAGAAAAGTAAAAAAGAAACACAAAAATGTTATCATCAACCCTCTGGCTCCATTTCCTTTATAAAGCCCAAGGAAAATGTTCACAGGTGCAAGCACAATCACCAGTCTCCCCACCCAATGATGGATCTTGTTCCAGTAGTCTTGGGCTTTGCTGCTACTGGATGGCCTCACAATGAATTGGCATATCTGATCAAATCGAAAACAACCCCAACAAACAAGGAAAAAAAAAGTAAAAAGATGTTCATTAGTTTCGAGAATCGAGCACATAACTTTGGTTGCTAAGATAAATACTCTTAACCTACAAACCCGTGTGGAACCGAAAATCATAGTTAAGTATGACTTTGATGAATATTTTGTATTATTCTGAGAGGTTTAAGAAAGGGGAAAAAAAACACCTGAAGAACACTGAGTACGAGGATAGCGAATCCAAGGACTCTGTGGTAATTAAAGTCGGCATGGATGAGATCGTAGAGTGTCCTTCCAACAGCCACAGCAGCAAGACCAACAAAGAAGCCCACAAACTGAACTGATGAATGAAGGTAGTACCATAAAGGCTCATACTGCCTAAAATGTCTGGCTATAGGAACTCCAAATGGAATGATTATGCCCCATCCAGTTATAGCCAATATTCCATGGGTCAGCTTCATGCTTGTGCTGTCTACAAAACCAAGATATATAGCACCTGCATGCTTGTACTATTAATTCAATTTCAAATTTGGATCATATTGGTTAATGATCATGTTGAAATGAAAACCCCTAATAACCCATGGCCAAGATAATGAATACTATTAGATGATCACTAGACTCCAAAAGCTTAAATTGAATGTCTTACAGAACAAATATAATGGAATTGTGTGGCGATGATGGGGTTGGAAGATTCGATATTAGACAATCACTAGGCTCCAAAAGCTTAAATTATCAAGAAAATAAGCCAATAATGTATATCAAGCTAACAGTTACGTCATTTACATGGAGAAGCTGACATGTAGACATAGAGAAGCATATAGGTTAAGGCTCCATTATGGGAGGTTTAGAACACTGTCATATAGAGAAAAATACAATTTCCCCAAAAACTTAAAGCGGTCTGAAAATGAGCTAACAGTGTATGTCAAGCAAATAAATATGCATGTGTGTATGAGAAATGAATTGACAAATGAACCAACCTCTGGAGAAGTCAACTGCCAAGGCGCTTCTGTATTTATGCTTCGGCAGGATATTGTTCTCAGCAGGCTTGCCAAACCCGCAAGCAAATAGAAATGGCTGCCGACTGAGACGTTGGGGAAACTGGAGTTGAAACCCCAGGTAAATTATTTTGTCCTTGAGAACAATGGTAGGTGTAACATTGGTGAATTTCAAGTCACCTTTATCTGGTATCACTTGTTCACTGGTCATACGTCCACTTAGAAAATACTGTTTTACCGTGCCGGATTTACCATCGTTGTTCATCCACCCCACCACCGCACTCGAACCGACCATCATCCCGTCCTTGGACACCCCAACCGAGATCCAATTATTCTCATGTATCCCCATTAGTATGACGGTAACAACGGCATTCTTATCTTGATAAAACTGTCACGACATACCTTGTGACGTCATGTCATGCGATCTTAAAAAGTAATTATTTGATTATGAATGAAAATGAGATGATGGTGATCACTTACGCTAATGCTGTAGCCGTGCCAATCAAGGGTTGAACATATGGATTTAGGGATGTCATGGTAGGGTGGAAGAAGAACATTTGAATTTGTAGTACAAAAACTAGGCACTACAATAGTTGTTGCATCATTCCGACCAGCATTGACCAAGCTCTTCTTTGGCTCTAATAACAATATCATCATCATGTATATGAATACATCGGAAAATCTTAATATCAAGTAATTTGAGTTCCCCATGATCACCATATATGATCAAATTAATTATAATAAAAAAGAAAGGGAAAGAAAATCTATATTCTGTGAATTTGCATGATCATGATGAAAAAATCTATAAATAAAAAAGAAAGATATGACAAACTTAAATAAATTTAATTTTTTTTTCCCATTTTCTTTAAAATATACTTTATGATGTTGGAAATGAAACGCCAGTTTATGAAGAAAACAGGGTTTGAATTCGAACATGGATGAAGACGATCGATGGTTGAACTCAATGTAGAGTGCACAGTGTTTCCCGCCATTTTGCTTCCAAGAGATGGTAGCATTGTCCGACGCCCACTAAATTTCCTGCACCTCTCATGACCGCAAGCTGTAACAACCAGAGATATATAGAGTAGAACTGGTCAACGAGGTCCTACATTTTATCCTCCCAATAATAACCAAATTATATAATCCAAACACAAAGATAACCGATTGGAAATCAAAATACATATAATGCTTATACCTATTTTAACAAGTGATATGCAATTACTCAACCGTTTATAACTTGTGTGAGGTTGTTCCGGTCACTTAGTAGTGTTGAGTAAAAGAATAATAAATTCAGTTACTCAATACTGTCACGTGACATGAACAACTCCACACAAGTCAAAACGATTTCCTTGTTTTGCTCTACGAATTCTCCTAATAAGGAAGATTTATGTTTTGGCTTCTCTACATATCCAATGTTGTTGAAGAAAATGTTTCTTTTTGTGATTATTTTCATTAAATGTTTCTTTTTGTGTTTTGGCCTCTCTTCCATACCTGTCGCTGGTCTTGTCCCAACTCATAACGTCTAATAACCACCTCTCGTTCCTCATCTTTATCACCACAAAACCCATACACAAACACAGAGACCTCCATTGGTCCATTACAAATTATAGCCTATAGCTTTGTTCTTTACTCTTGGTGGGTTCAAACTTCGATCGAACCCATTTCAGAAATGACTTTAATATACCTCAGCTCCCTATCCCCATGGCTCTCTCGTCTCTCTCACTCCTCTCCACCACTCCCCATTATCACCACCAACGCAACTAACGCCTTGCTGTTCAGAATCCAAACTACTTCCATCAACTTCTCCAAGCTCCTCACAACAAAAGCGTCATTGGGTGAGAGCGAAAGTGGTAGTGGGTTGGCAGAGGACTCTGTCTCCGAGTTGTTAGACGATGAGTTGCTTGGTAAAGTTTCGGGTGCTAAAGACGCCCAAGAAGCACTCCAGATGATCGCAGAAATTACTGGGAGAAATGGTGGTTTAGTGAGTGCTTCTGATTGTTGTGCTATTGTATCAGCTTCCCTTAAAAGGAACAACCCTGACTTGGCTCTCTCTGTTTTTTATGAGATGCGTGCAAGTTTTGATCAAGGTATTGGTTTGGGTTTTAACATCAGTTGCTCTTGTGTTTGGAAGACTAGCATTGTTTTTTATCATAACTCAACATTCCAATTTTCAATTGGATTTCAAAAAAGGAATGGGTTTGTCTATTTATGTTCATCTATGCAAAGCTTGCCTTGCTGACAGTATTGCTGAATGGTAATCTAGAATACATACAACTTATGCCAAATGGGAGTGTGTGTTTGTAAGAAATTTACGGCTGAATTCCATTTCTAAATTCATCTGTTTTTTTTTAGTACATTACTTGTGGGAAATTAACTAGGGGCATTGATCACTTGTTCTGGGGCAGGTGTTAATGAAAATGGCCCTTTTGTTGAGAGGTGGAAGTGGTCCAGACCAGATGTACGCGTATACACATCATTGATTCTGGGTCTAGCTGTATCACTGAAAGTTTCTGATGCCCTTAGGATGATCAACAATATTTGCCGAGTAGGAGTATCTCCTGCTGAGGAGGTAAAAGCATTTCTTTTTTTCTTTTTAATTTTTGCCGTTTTCTTTCAGCATTTGGTTTTTCCCCGAGCAATTACATTTGTATTTTATAAGGAAACTATGATAAACTCATAATTGCCAGCTTTAACTGCCCCTCACTTGTTTCTGTTGGCTGATGTCGGTTTTAAACTATTAATTGATTGGTTTTCAATTTTGGACACTTGAAACCAGTAGTCAGGAAATAAGACACTCAAATCATTGTATGTACTTTAGTTGTCTTCTTTTCCTTTATTCAATTTGTCTTGGACACATGTGAAAAACATCTGACTGGCTTTAATGTGGTTTTCAGGTCCCATTTGGGAAGGTTGTTAGGTGTCCAAGCTGTATGATAGCTGTTGCTGTTGCACAACCACAACATGGTATTCAGGTATGCATGTCAAAAACCTGTGAACTCATTTTTGAGGAATACATGAGATGCTTTGTTCAAAGCAATGGTACTCATGCCACAAATCTGGTGCAGATAGTGTCGTGTGCAAAGTGCTGCTACCAATACGAACTTATTTCTGGCAACATAGCTAGTATTGAGTCAGAAGAAATCAGGTGGGTTTATTTATCTGCTTTTGTTTAGCTGGTTAATATTGACTCTCTATAGTTTCTCTATGTTTGAGAACATGCGCAAGAGCATTTTCCGTAACCAGTGTGTGCACGACGATCTTGCTCTGAGTTTCTCAGAGAGCTACGGATTAATATGATTTATAACAGTTATACATTTTTAGCAGAGACTTGTGAACTTGATTACAGTGTCATTTATTGGAATACACATCAAACTTATCACATGTTAATTCTATGTCAATCACACAGCTAATATATGTGTGGTGTTGATCCTGGGATATTGACTTTTTCTAAGGATCTCCTCCTGCCGAACGCAGCATGGATGTTCCAGCTTGGAAAAGGGGGCTAAGATTCCTGCAAATAATGAAGCAAAGTGCTCCTGCAGCTGTTCACTCCATTGTGGTATGATATTATTCATTATGAATGTTCAGTTTCCCATTTTATATCCATGAAATTCCACCTATATCATATCTATGTTGTTGTTGATCATCATTTTCCCTCTCCTTTTTCAGGTTCAAACCCCTTCTGGTATGGCTCGTACGAACAGGTTTGCTACTGAAACAGTTGATCTCCCAGCACAGGAAGGAGAAAGGGTAACTATTGCTCTAGCAGCTCCATCAAGTGTTTACAGAGAGGTGGGCCCCTTAAAATTTAGTCCTAAGGCTCCCAACTTTTATCCTGGGGAGCCTATCTGCCTGACTAACCATGAAGATGGCCGGGAATCAAAACTATTAAGAGCCCCTATAAAAGACGGAGGATCTTCGCTAACAAACCCCTCCATCCTTTTTCCAATTGTTGCTGTTTTGGCTTCTGGAAATGCTGCCTCTGGAGTTATAGACCCCAGCCTTCCCCAATTCCTTCCAGTTGCTGCAGTGGCATCTCTTGCTGTTGGAGTTACTCTGAACACATTGGTTTTCCCCCAATTGAGTCGTGTAAGCAGTAAGCTAGTAAATTTATTTTTTTCCCATTATAAGTGTAAATTGTGATACCCAAACCCCCATCCTCACGCTTCTGAAAAGGGAAACAAAAAAAAGATCATTGTTAATTGAAATTTCAGGTCCCTTGCAATTAGTATTTGGTTTCTTCACCCCTTCACAAGTAATGAGGGTCTAACTTTTAAATTCTTTAGGTACGCTAGATGTTTGAGGATTATGCAAGTAGTTTTGTTTACTCAATCTAACATGGTTTGTAATGTTTACATATATTCCATTAAAGACATTTCTTGAACAACTCAGAAATGTATGTTGTTCATAATATACTTGCTTGTTTTGTCAGCTTCCTCGGAGATTGGTGGATACAGTTGCTATCAAGCAGCAACTTTTATCTCAATATGACACACTCCAATCTCGTATAAAGAGCCTAAAAGAAGCTGCTGAGAAAGAGGTAAGCCTCCACGCTAGTTGTGACTGTGATTTATTAAACTTTACAGTGGAACATCCTACATGCATGAAGATTTTTGTTGATTATTTTGTCTCAAAAGTGAGTAGCTTTGTGATCATAAAAAAGTGGCCTAATCTCTAGCAATCTGAACAAAAAAAGGGTTATTCAACAATTTTGTGGCAGAAATCACGTCTTGCCCTTTTCCTTTCATGCATAATTAACTGAGTGGATTGAAGATATAAGAAAGATGTTCACTTATTTCCTGTGCAGGTCTGGATGTTGGCTCGGATGTGCCAACTTGAGAACAAAATTTTCGCCGTAGGAGAGCCTTCTTATCGGTGAAACTCTCTAACATTATTGTTCTTCCTTTCTTAACTAGTAGTATGATTAGTTGAAATTATTTTATGCTTGAATGTTTTTTTAGTGATGTAGCAAATAACAAGTTAGCATCGGCCTCTGCTTTCAACTTCACTAGTCTGAAACAAATTTGTTTTTCAATATCTAGTGCTCGAAGAAGTAGAGTCAAAAGGGTTCGAGAAGGCTTGGAAAATTCTCTCAGGGGACGGATTGAACTTATTGACAGCTATGCAAGAGTATGGTTTTGTCTTTAGACACAACTTAACTCCCCCTCCCCTCTAAATGTTGTCGACTAATATAGCTATGCTGTTCACTTATCAGATTTCTTCAATAATCGAAATTGAGGTAGAATTGGACTCTGATGTTCTTGCTGCTGAAGCAGCAAGCAATGTGGTAAGCTCAAATTAATTACATAGTTCCTTCCCTTTGATATGCCTTTATACAAGCTAACTAGGTCATTCTTATTTGCAGGAAAATATTGCTGAACAGATACAGCAAACCATGGAGCTAGAAAATCTTGAAGAGGCATCTCCTTACTTTGCATTAACCAAAAAAAAAAAGGAATTTATAATATTCATTCATAAAAGTAAAAGAAAGAATATTATTTGGTTCATGCATTTGTTTGCTAATCATATATACTTTTCTCTGCAGAGATGGAGAATACAAGTTGAAGCAAATGATGAGGCAGAAAGACTTCTTAGTTCCCAACCGATGCCCACAGAACAGGTGTAGGAACTAAAATAATGAAATGATGAAGCACATGGTGATAACTCCCAAAATATCTCTCTGGTTGAATCAATCAAAGGGCAGAACCAATTTCCTATCACATTCCATGAAACAATGCTGAAGGATATAGGACGTTTGAGAAGCTCTGCCCTGGCATGACTTTGTGGAAAGAGCTTGGC